ATGAGTAACAGAAAAGCTCTGCCTCTACATATGAGAATACAGTTCCAGCTCTTCCTGGGAGCAACCCAGGAAAACCTACCAAAGAGCCATTTCCCCTTTTCAAAGTCTCCTAAAATTAACATTTGTCTTTATTTATTATTCATTTAATTATATTCTTACACAAGACTCCTACCCACAGGTTTTGAGAGGCTGAATACATTCTTTATCACATTTTACTACACCAGAATTAGAGTCTGTTTGGAGGGACTCTGTTTTGAAGTTCTCCCTCCCCACCTGCAGTTCTCCTGCAGCTTCACAGGTGCTAACTGGGGGAAGCACAAAATCAAGAAACCCCCTTTAGGTGCCTTCACCTCAGTGCTATCTCAGCTAATTCTCAGCATTATAGAGAAACTTTACCATCAGGGGAATTTTCTTAAAATACTTTTTCTGGAGAAATTGCTCAGCGGCTGTAGGTGCAGGGATAGTTGGTGAACAGTGAGTGTCTTAACGTTAAGTGTTGCAATAAAATCCTGGGATACTGGTGAAGTTACTGTCTCCTCATTACTCTGAGTTCACCAGCCTTCTTAGAGGAAAATAATTTGGGCATGTCTCCTGCTACAGAAATAGCCTGTGCACTTTCCTTTATCAAAGACCACAGCAGACACCATGACTCAGTTTGAGCTGTTAAAAAGGAAGATGTACCTAATTGTGTTAACTACTTTCTTCAGACGCTACGAATTTTACCTAGTGCTGTTTTCTCACAGTCAGAAAAGTCCCTTTTTGATCTACAGTGATCAACCTTCACCATCTATGTGGCCGAATTAAATCCATCAGGAATCAATGTCAGGCCTGGTTTTCCCCTGCTCATGAGCTAGGGGATCTCATTATTTTCAGAATATTCATTAGACTCTCTACTTACTCTAAAAATAGTAGGGGTTTTTTTCAGCCGAGTGACTAGTGGGCAGCAGATTCATGCATTTATCTGTTCCACAATACAAGATCTGATAACTACATGTACTCAGATACTGTGCCTTCAAGAGACAGTTGCCATAAATAGACTCCACCTTACAGTATTTGACATTGTCAAAGCACTGGTTAACGTTCACTAATAGCAATTAACTAATTCATCTTCAGGGCAACCCTGTGTGCTAGGTAAAACTGATATAATTAACGCATGAGTAAAATGAGGTTTAGGAGTTAAGTCACTCGCCTGGGCAGAGGCCTTCATGGTCTAGTGGATTAGACATCTGTCTCTCCAACCAAAGAAGTTGAGCCTAATCCTTTTTCTGACACTGATTTGCTGTGTGACCTTACAGAAAGTCAATTATCTTCTCTGCCTCAGCTGCCCTAGAGATAATGATGCTTACCTACCTGGTGACACATGGGTGTTTGGAAACTGTACTAAACGATACTTTTAATGTACTCTTAAGGCCTATCAGTGGAAGAGGTGAAATATTAAAGCTTCCTACCTTTAATGTCCTTGCTGTCTTATCTAATTCCTCCTCCCCACACCAGAAATAGCTTGGGGCTAAGGAGGAATTTCTTAGGCTAAGACGCTGCTAGCGAAACTGTGACTGGCATCAGGAAGGTTCATCAGATCCTACTTGACCAGCAAATTTATTTAGAGTACAGGTCAGCACTAGAATTGCAACGGAAAGTTTATTTTAAACTTGGCCATGGAAGTAACCAGCATCCTTCCCATGCTACCGTGAGGTAATGAACAGACTGCCACGGCCATCCCCACTGAGCACCCCTGGTTCGAAGGGAGCGGAGCCTGTTTGCAGAGACCCAAGAGCCTGCACTCATGCACCATCCCCAGTTCCCTTGTACCTTTAAATGAGATTTTTGTGGAATGATTTCTACAGGTGGCCTTATTGCTAGCAGGGATGCAAGTCCAGAGGGACACTACCCATGTACATGCACATCCCAGAGCAGACCCAACTGATCTTGCCATCTCCGAGCACTGAGGCATAGTACTTAAAAGGAGAACAACTTAAACCTGCTCTGTTCAGTTCAATAGAAGCCGTCCTTGAACTGGCCTCTAGCCAGCACAGCTTTTCATGACGTGCCATAGGACATTAAGAAGTATTACTTCTGTAGTTGGCATCTGAACTGCCCGGCAGGTATCTAGGCTGGTGGTATGTGCATGTAACTTCATATCCCTTATATCCCCTTATTCGACCTTGCTTTTAATTATTTCTACAAAATATTCTGTTGCTACATATAACGCTGCCTAGGCCCATAAAATCTCCCACAATTCTAATATAGCAAGAAACCAGTCGAACAGGACATAAGAATTCAACATTTACGTTTATTTCTGTGAGCAAGATTAACATTCCTTCTCTTTAATCCTGAAGGAAATGTCAGGGCTTTTTCTCTTTTGCTTGCTGAATTACAGCAAGTGCAGTGAACGTTCATGCAGCCAGAAAAATAATAACCTGCTCCTGCCTCTGATGCGGCACCGATCGCTTCTTAGCATCCTTTCTGCTGCTGATCCGCCCGTGCGCTGGCTGCTTTGTTTCGCTGCCCTGCTCTCTCCACCCTCTGACCAGTTAGCACTCGTCTCTTCTCTACCCTCCCAGCTCTACTGATAATGTGTCTAACATTTACTTTGATGCTATTCCTTGAGGCTTTTCAAAATCCTTCTTGGAAAAGACCATTAAAAAGAAACCCTTTGGGGAAAGACAGGGAGGAAAGCTAAAGCAGAAGGGGCATGTGCTTGTGTACAATATACCCCCGTAGGCTTTGTCTTGCTGCAAGCCTCAAGATGACTTAATGCAAACCTGTATTGCTGTAAATAGGCAATAAATACTGTATTCTCCTGAAATACATCTGGGCTAATTCAATAAACCCTGACTTATTGGCTGCTACTTGTGCAAACTTCTGCATATTAAATCACAATAAATTACCAATGAGCTGTCAGATCAGTAATACAGATATTCCCAAGGCTGAAAGATTGTCCATAGCTTGTCCCTATATATTTATTTACTGCAGAGGCTACCAGTGTGGACTAGCACAGGCCAAATGGCTCCATGTCTATACACTGTGGAAGAACTTGTGACTATGAACACAGAATGACTTATGACTTATGACTTATGACTAGAACAAGGTGACTTGTAGTAGCTTATAAAATATACTCTAGGATTGTATACTGAGCGTGGCAAGGAGCATGAACTAAAACCGTGTTCAGCCCTCACATGCCTAAAATACGACTTTTCAGTGTTGTTTTTTCCCCGGGTTAAAATTACCTGTGTGCTAATAGGTGATTAATATGTAACACATTTGGCACAAGCAGAACATATAATTGCATTCAGACAGATTGTTGGGTTTTTTCCAATGCTACTGAAGACTGTACTCCTTCTAAGTGTTTGTAATCTGGTAATGTTATCTCCTGCACTTGCATGTTTGGTTTTTGGGTTTTTTTGTCTTACTATATGGAGAGTTAGAACCTGTACCTTACTGCACCTAGTCTACTAAGGCATTGAAACATCCATTTAACTTTAGAGGTTGAGCTTCAGATCCCTGCTGCATCAGGCTCTTTGTTTAAATATGTATTTTTTAGTTTTATATTGCATATTTTGCAAGATTTCATAAAACTATCCAACATCCCAGTTCTATAGTCTGCACTAGAGACCAACAGGTGTGACTTCAACTTTATCTATCAATACAGTAAAGAAGATGTAATACCAGGAAGGACAACTTCTTTTTCTTTTTCATCTTAATTCTTTCCAGTAGCTTTTGTTTAACCTTATATACAAATAATGAGACTTTCCTGTGAGATAGTTTCCCATTTTCAAGTTTGGCATGAAATGGATGGTTTGCATATAATTTTTCAAGTTGAGTGTAAAGTTGTATGGACCTTCAGATTTATATTGGCTTTGCTGTAAATTAATGTTGCTGAATTAAATGGACACACTTAAATCTGCAGTGACCTTGTAAAATACTGGTGGCTATTCAGATGAAACTGGGTCTATCTGGATTGGAAGAGGGAAGGGAAATCAGTTCATCTTAAGTTTGGTAATTTGGTAATCGTTACTGTAAACAGTGTTTTTACTTAGTATGATCACTAGAAGACAATGCATAGCCAGTGTTAAACCAGGGCAGATACAGACATAAAGGCAAAGCTTAATCTTGCTAGGATTAATGACTCTAAATTGATACGACTGAAAAAACATTGAAAAATGCTGACGCTAAGGTGGCTTCAGGGACTAGCAAAATGCCTTGCCTGGTAATTTTCAAAAGTCTTTAGAGACACTGATTGCACCTGGAACCTCTGATTTGATTACTGAAATAAAAAATACCTACTGTAGTAGCCTCATCTGTACTTTAATTAAGAACTTTGTATTTAAATATCACCGTCTGATCCCCTGAGGTTATTTTTAAAGTAAGCTTCTGGCAAGGCAGCAGTGTGGTGGATTAGAGGCTTGGAATTGAGGAAAAATCAACATTCAGCATACAGTTTAGAATAATGTGTGCATATATACAAATACATATGTATCCAACATCATGTAACAAGATACAGGACTGGATTTATTAAAGCCAAATGGAAAGATATTTCTTCTTTTAATATTCTAGATCTCTTTTAATATACGCAATGTAGATTTGCACTGCAGTCTGATTCACGTGAGTACCACAATAGCACATCAATCTGATATTGTCCAATGAAAGCTCCATTTTTCTACAAACATAAAACCAAGTTATCAACTTAGCTGTCTGCATCTACTATTCCATCTAACAGTGGCTGTTATGCTTGATGTGGATATACAAGACCTATCACCCATCAGCTCACCGTTCATCACGGAGCATGCAAGCATGAGCTGAAAAGCAGCAGTGCCAGATAAAGCACAGTCATGGAAAATGAGCAGCAGGGTAGCAGCAGGGGTGGCAGACTGGGGTGCTAATGAGCAATGTTAAAAGGGGAGGGGAGGGGGAAGGGTGAATGATTCGTACAAGACATGTCTGAACTTGAAAAGCCAGATAACAATGGATTTTTCCAGTTCTTATTTCAGAAGACAACTTACAGCTTCCAAATTTTAATGGGCAAGCATGTGCATCCATGGGGAAATCTTCAAGCTGCATGGGACATTCAGCAGAGATGGTCAATCTGTGGGGGAATAAAAAGAAAACACATCATTTTTTTTTTGGCGCCTTCCCTTTAGGCCTCTCACTGCAATACATGAGTGCTGACACAAGCAAGCTTTTCCTGAAGGCTCCTTGCTCCTGCTGAAATCACAGCAACCCCCTGTTAAACTGAATGTGAGATAAGCCAGGTGGACCACTGTGTGTGCGTGCTGTAGGCCTTATCTAGTAACACTGAGACACATGAACTGATTTTATGTAAGCTGTTCCAGTAAGATCAGCCTCTCACTGCAATACATGAGTGCTGACACAAGCAAGCTTTTCCTGAAGGCTCCTTGCTCCTGCTGAAATCACAGCAACCCCCTGTTAAACTGAATGTGAGATAAGCCAGGTGGACCACTGTGTGTGCGTGCTGTAGGCCTTATCTAGTAACACTGAGACACATGAACTGATTTTATGTAAGCTGTTCCAGTAAGATCATTCTTTCTTATTATTACATGAAGGAACTCCTGTGCTGGAGCTTCTGCCATGCACCTTCTTCTTACCTGCTTTGTGTAGATACTGCAACTGGACTAGGAATTTGACTCCTGAGTATAGCACGGTTACAGACATAAAGAAGCGCTGACTTTATATATAGATGTAACTATTTAAATACATAAAAATAAATATTTATAAATAAAAGTATATAAAATAAATATGTATATCTATATAAAAAGTCATCTATAAAGTCAATTATGTATCTGTATCTCTCCTTCTATATATATGACTTTATATAGCACTACAGTTAGTTTTCGTGGAAATCACATTGTATCGGGGCAGTCCAATTGTGAATTACCTGGGTACCTTGTCAGGAAAAAACACCAGGGTCATTTTCCCCAGCATATTGTCTGGGGAAACAATTCTATCCTGGACCGCCCTGCCACTACATGGAAATTCTTGAGTTATATTGGACATACAGGTAGGGAAGGAAAAACTCTTAGAAAAAAACAGACATATCCTATGGATGTTCTGTATGACTGACAGATGAAGCTGAACACAAAGAAAAGTCCAAGGTAAATTTCTGAGCAGTACAATATCAGCTATATTGATATCAAATATATCAAAAGAGCCAAAGCTCACTTTTCTAGGTGCACGCAGCACATGGCACAATGAGAGCCTGGCTTTGATTAGGTCATTTTGGTATTTGCATAATACAGATGGTTTGCTCAGGATAGCAAGGATGCAAATCTCATTTTACATTATGAATACCCTTATGGCTTTCTCGTTTTATGCCGCTATTCTGCCTCAGAGGTGACAGACCAGAGACACTCAAAGCCTCACAGACTGCCCAGTGCTGGGGTGACGCAGGGCTCTGCTGGAGGGCAGCCTGGTTCCTCACCAAACTGCTGCAAAGAAATCCACAACACCCTACTGCCAGAATGCAAAAGTACCCTTTCCCATCACAACAGCCACACGTAGCCATACCCCCCGGGTATATATACTCACCGCTTCCTATTAGCACACCAAAGTGAGTATTCTTGCTACAAGAACTTCTATCCAAAGGGATCGTAAAGGGTAACAATCTGTCCGTGTACAGATGGCACAGCGTTCGGCCAGTCCAATTCAATACAACACAATGATGCCTTGCTGGAGCACTCCAGCTACATGGACAACAAATTGGGGAAGACAGCTCCACTCTCTGCCAATGCACAGAAATTCTGGAGCTTTACCAATAGCTGGAAATGGCAAAATAAGCACAGAGAAATGCAATAGTATCGTTGGCTAGAGATCGTATCATGAGGATGGGCTGGGAAACAGGGAGGGAAAAGGCAAACTGCAAATAGTTAATAGAAAATGTAAAGATAATACAACATATAAAGCAAAAGAAAAAAAAAATCCAGTTCAGAGATAATGTATCATTTGGTAAGAACAAACAGGAAATCTACAATATAGGAAAGAAATGACTGAGGCCTGAGATACCTGCCCTTAGGCAAAACTGTTCTTGGACTTTATTTTTGTAAAACAAATTTTAAAATCACTAAAATACAGAGTTGTCTGCAGTGGAGACTGCCTTTGGACACCAAAGCCAGCAAAGCCACAGTCACTGAGAGTGCTACGTGGTTGAATTTAACAAGCTGGTTCTAGTAGCATCCCATCCAGAACTTGCATCCTTTTGATAAAAATCAGTCTAATGGGTACTTTAAAGCAAGGCTGCCATCCCTCCAGTGCATCGTTATATTTTCTGTACTAAGTATTCCAAATTTAATTTTCTTGATAAATTCAGAAGCCTTGCTCCAAGTGCCGTAAGAAAGCTGACGTGTTTTACTGCAGGCCATCTCCTGCCTCTTTGTCTACCAACAGTTCAAGTACGTTGTTTCAAAGGCTGCAGCTTGACAACATTTTAATACACATACTTGTCATCTGCACACCTCCAAGGAAGGGGTCCCTATATCCATCTTACCAAGAGAGCAGCTGTGGAATCAGGAAGTGAAGGAAGATTCAATGCAGAATTATGAATAAGACCTTCTGTTTCATCTGATCGTCCTATGAATTGTATCCTGCTGCCTGCACCTCTGGAAATAACCCTTGTGTGTAATGAGGAAGGCTGCAGACATTCCTCAACCATAAATGTGGAAGAGAAGTGAAGATGAGGTGCACAGAGACTGTGACCCAGTGGAACTTAATTAAGTCCCTCCAGAAATAATTTTTGCCTATCTTAAATGAAAGGGTAGCACATAAGGCTGGAGGGCACGTGGCTGCCACTAGCTGTCTCAGAAGCCACAAAGACCCTGGTGGTGCCAGGGCTACTCCTGTGCCCCCTCTGAATTCCTCATCCAGCAAAAGGCGGCACATCCCTTAAAAGGATGTGCCTGGTGCAGTCTTCTGGGTCTAGCCCAGGGGTAGGGAGAACCCAGTTTAGCAGCTGCAAATGTGCTGCCTTTCCTTTCATTAACATGAATTCTTTGGATGAAGAAGTTCCTTTTGCTCATTATCAATGATAATCTGCATGCTTTCTTTCCGTGCCTCCATCCTAGGGCCACTCCTAATTTGGCCGTCTTGAACAAATGAACTGGCTATACCTATTTGTTACATGCTATTCTTAAAAAGTATGTAGCTGAGCCTCGTATGTAAATTTAAAATGCTCAGTGAACACTCTCCTAGCTACCTCTTACGAAGTGTGCATTACCCGAGGCTTGTGAAGTGTCTTGTAATGGGCAATGCAACAGAAAACGTGACTGTGGTTTCTGATACACTGCATAAATGTCACCACCCTGGATTTCTGCAGAGCACTCTGTGCCCAACAGTAGCTGTTTTTCATTACTGTGTGAGGACCTGAAAAATAGAGTCACTAAATTGACTCCTGATTCAAAGAGACTGGATTTTCTACTGCATACATAAAAAAAAGCAGCACAGCAGCCACCTCTTACACTCTGGGGGCTGGAAGCATGGGTCACTGCATACAGATTTGCTCCTAGGTGCACAGTACAAACTATATATTCAGATCATAGCTCCAGGAGTCACAAAGAAATTGATATCTCGGTCTGCTCCTTCAAATATCACCTGGGGTGATATTTGCACACTTTGGCTTTTAACATAGTGTTAAAGCCTAGGTACCCTTTGCATACCCTAGTTTACACAGCTGATTATAACAAAATTACTCCCAGTTTGCATTTATTGAAAGAAGAGAAAGGAGACCTTGGCATGCATATATGAAACAGCCTTTGCCTAATCCTTTTAATATGGTCACTCCAGAACAATCTTGCTGTGCTCATTGCAGCACAGTTATCTGAGCTAGAGACAGTCTCCAAACCAGGATTTTTTCTGTCACAGCTCAAGCACTGCTCAAACTGCAGTTCTTTCCAACAGAAGCATTTAAAAGCTTCCCTCCTCCACCATCATTATGTCTTAATAAAAGCCCTATGGGATTAGTTTCACTCAAACAGAGTTTTTGGAAAGTGGCTGTTAAAGCTTCTTTACAATGGGAGGACGAAACTCTGATTTTATTGAAGTTAATGGTAAAATTCTCCGTGACTTCAATGGGGCTGGTATTCACCCAAAATATGTAACAAACCCTGGTTACAGCTGCTGATTTATTATGGATAAAATTTCACTTTCATAATGCTCCAAATACTTACACTGCTATCCAAATGTTAATCAACCAACAAATGCTACAGCATACCTTACCTATCTGAAAAAAAGGTTAGATCTACAAATTATTTCACTTATCACCCATAACTGTACATGAAAGTTCCATCAAAGCTTCATTATGTATAACCTTTACTTTAAGAACATAAAGTGATTACTGATGTTCTGTTTCAACAAAATATACACACACAAGTGAATACCCATCTAAGAAAAGCACAACAATTCAAGCAGCAAGTCTTCTTCACTCCAGAAAAGTCACCTTCAACCCTTTCCACTGGAGAATTAAGCAAGACGATGCTTTCAAGAGACCGTTGCTTTTTAACAGGCAGGGGGAGAAGGAGGTGTTAAAGTCAAGGATGTGGCGAGGGAATAAATGCAGATGTTTGGGAGCCAGACATCTGCAGCAAGTGTGCTTCAAGGAGAGCACAAGGCACTCTGACCCGCAAGAGCCCGTTTTAGGGGGCTGCAGGGACCTCCCCGCTGTTCCCATGATTTCCCTCAATGCAAGGAGCATCTGCTCCTACTCATGGGAAAAGAGCTGGGAGACTGAGCAAAGCTATCATCTCTCTGCTACCGTGGAAGTGCAGAAAACACTTTCAGGAGTATTATTATCTGCAGCTGCCAGGCAGGAGGCGAGGGCAGTCACCTGCCCGGGGAGCCAACAGCCGCAGAAACTTGCTTTCTTATCAGCTACTAGCTTTAGTATGCAAACAAATTGAAACAGAGAGCTTTAGGAGAGGGGAGCAGAAAGGCAGGGTCACCAGTGGCTTTTGGGAGAAGTTAACTCAAGATAAGTGTTGAATAACAAGAGTTACTGATGAAAGGGACACAAGGGAAGTTTTGTTGGCTCTGAGGTATTGGGGCCAGAGAGATAAGAAGCTCTTCTGCCTGTTTGCCCTA